GAGAGAAGAAAAAGAAAAAGAAAAAGAGAGAGCTAACGGAGATCGTTGAGTGGTCTGTGCGATTCTCGTGGACGATTCGATACCAATAAAACCAACAGGTCTCTTAAGAGAGCTTCATTGAATGAACTTTTATCCGCATTACGCGTCGAAACTTCGGTCCACCCGGGTCAGAGAAAATTACATCTGCCCTTCATCCTTTCACATTTTTTGGTAGGTTACGAGCCTCTTTCCGCCGTGCATTAAATGTGTACAATAGCATGTAATTAGTCGACGTTGTTTTCCATTTTTGTTTTTAATTTTCTTGCATGCATTTTAAGCAGAATGAAATGGGATGACTTCTACATTTGGGTAATTTTACAGGAAGAGTACGTATTCACGAGCAGATCTCCGCACTTCACACACGAAAATTCCTGATGCGTCGGTTAATTTGTTATACTCGCCGGGAAACTTTATTACGGCAGATCTCTCCGGTGATTTGGAGTTCGTCAAATAGTCGACGAATGCAAATGCGCCGCATTTATGTGACGAATTTTACTGCGTTGTCACGTAGAATTAGAACATTGTCACGTTGTTATATTACGCACCTGCAGCGGCTTGTGCGAATATTTGTCGGGGAAACGCATCGTTTAAAGCCGCTTTTTGGAAAGATACATAAATATGGGTTGCGCTAAATGCCGACAGCCTTGAAAACTGCGGCGTAACAAATTCGTTTAGCGCGCTCGTATTTTGTTCCCACATTTCTGTCACGCGCTGTCCGAAATCCCGAAAAAATTTCCTCGTAGAATATTCGCGCGCCACAATGGTGACGAAAAAATTACGGTGTTAGTTAGCCGGGAGTGCCGAGTTAATTTTCAGTATATTTCTCCCGCGGGCCCCCGTTAAATGCGCTGTTTTTCCGCTCGGGGATCGTTGAAGTGACGCGAGTATAATTTAATTGAGCATACCAGAAACGCTTGCTCATCAACGCGCCGCCGAGAAAAGTCCAACGAAAACGAGAAAACGAAAAAGTCCGCGCCGACGATAAGATGCTTTCTCAAAGGGTTAAATACGCTCAAGCACATTTATCGCATAGGGAACACATCATGCTATTAGCACGTCCGAACTGGCGAAGGCTTAGAGTCGATACGAATATTCTGGTAGATTTTCAATAATATCTTTTCATCTTAAAACACTTACGAATACGAAATGTTTTACCTAACTTATAAATATTTTTATTTTATCTAATATTTATCATGTTACATTTATTTTTATTTTTATTTTACATTTATTATTTTATTTGATGTATACATAAAATAAAATCCGAATATACTCGAAGAAAGAGCATCTTTTGCATCTGTCGCAGGACTTTATTAATAAAGTTGTCATATCCTTAGTACGGAGGCCTCTTTTCTCCAAGTAAATTCGGACTTTGCAATGGAGATCAGCGTGAAATAACAAAATTGAATGAGACGTCATCTGTTGTGAATACTTAATCGCGTTATAATGTAAAGTATAAATCGAAATATCCTTCATAGAATCAAATAGTCGTTATGAAAGACAGAATGCTTTCCCGTAGAAAAACGTTCAGTTAAAAACGATCGATGGAGCAGATGCTCCAGCGCAGCGTACGCGCGCGCTAAAGGAGGATCTTCATGCCCTTCCTTTGGATACTTATATCGACGTATGCATTTTCAGGCGCATCCCTTTGCCGTTCCGCACGCGGCTCTTAAGGGCCGTGCCTCGAAGCGCATCCGGGTTATGGCGCAACCGAAATTCATAACTAAGAAATACGACCCCGCGTAAGTGCACAGTCGTTCGCTCTTCTAGTCGTCAAGTTACCGCGAGTCCTGAACAAAATTTATTATCGCGCAGAACGGCGCCACCCCCTTACCCACGCATTCACCCAAAGACGCTCGCGGCGAAAAGCAGCAGACGTATCGTCGACCTGGCGTTACCCAAAAGAAGGTGCGTATCCATTTCCTTGACGCTGAACACACCACGATGTTGGACGTCGTCTTGAAAAGAGTCGTGAAAGAAATGCAATAAGTCTTCCGTAAACTAATTGATATTAGATCTTGGAAAATTGCAAAATGTAAATCGGCGACAAGAACGGTTATTTCGTCGACATTTGTGTCTCTTAAATTTTTAATTATTTTTAGTTACTTAAAGTTAAAATAATGTGATTTATGATAAAGCTCTGTGTTGATAATATTAGAAAATTGATAACTGAGACTTGATCGATGATAGATGTGCGGTAACTTAAAAGCACCTTAAACGCTAGACTTCTGCTGGAGACGATGAAATTGGCAGCTACCAAAAACATGAAGGCAACCGTGAGCGATCTGCTGGTGAAGGTTCGAAAGTCGCGGTACCAGCGGTATCGCGTATTCTGCAACGCGCGTCAAGAACGTGAAGCCAAGAAAAAGTAAAGCCGATACATTTCCCACCATCATGTCACTTTTTCTCTGCGAACGACACGTGCATCCCTAGACATATATAACCTTCCTTCGGGTTCGCGCAAGTAACCGATCTCCGGTGAACGATAAAGATACGGGAAATTATTTATTTATACGGGAACTGTTTTAATCGCGGCGGAAAAAAAAACATAAAATTAAACGACAGTTATTACTTTGAAATTTGTTTTTTTCTCTTTTAATTTTTTATTCATTGCGTGTCCAATTTCGAACCATTTTCAAATTGCAATAAATTTTGGTTAAATGAAACTCCCTCGCATGTAAATTGCTGCGAAACAAACAAATCGCGTGGAAAACGATCCCAATTATCCGTCAAATAATTAGCCTGATTTTATAAAGCTACATTGAGCAAGTAACAAAGCAAAAGCTCAAGCCTAGTATCGATTTCGGGTGTATTAAATTCTAGTGTAATTAACAAAGGGTCATCTGATACTGTTCTGGAAGTAATTATTAATAGTGCTCAATGAATTTCGAGATTGCGCTGTGGACATTTATTGCAGCGGTTACAATCGTTGATTCACAAGAGCACATCAATTTAATAGTTGTCCGCAATCTATGCCGCAATATATGCGGTGTCCCACCGCAATCTACCACAATTACAGCCATACTTTTCACCGACAGATTCTTTAACGTCAATTACTAAATGTCGAAAATATCTCTATTACTCTTTTAAAATAAAAAAAATCTTTCATTTAATTATTAGAAGAGAAATGTGAAAAAATGGTTGTGATTAAAAACAAACACTAATTTATAATAATAGTAATAATAATTTCATTTTTTATAATTTTATTTTTTTAAATTTATAAAAAATTTCTACAGCTGAAATTGGTACTGGCGCAAGCTATTTTAACTCTTTGATAAAAAATGAACCATTTTTTAATTAATTTTTGCATTTTTAATTTTTAAATAAATTTCCGCTATAAAACACTCCGTTCTCGATTCAGGAGGAAACGAATGGCAAAATTGCGCAGAGCTCTTACAAAACCAGAAGATTGGCAAAGGCACATGCGGGTTCTGGAAAGACTGGCCGCGCCTAAAGTCGCCATGAAACCCAAGAAGAAGAAGCGTGTAAGAGATCCCATTCTTGCTCATGAATCAGTGCTGATCGATTTAGATAAAAACGCTCTCGCTGCCCGCCGCGTCAGATTCCGGCGTCGATCGATCGCGTGCTCCGATATTTCAGATTAAGAAAAAAAAATGGAGGCCGGTGAATATGGAGCGAGTGGATTGGCTGGCGTTACCATTGATTCGGGAGATACCCAAGTTCCGAGATACGTTCGAGGTGGAACCGCGCGCGCTCACTTATAAGATCACCAAGCGAATGGAAAGGCTCGCTGCTCGGAGGAAACAGCCGGAGATCCCAATGCGGACACCAGGCGCTGTTTCGCCAGCTGCAATGAAAGCTATCGGTAGGGCATACACGCACTCGTCACTGTAGAACATTGCTATTCCCTCCACCGCGATCTCTCGGCGATTCCTCGCTCGATACCTCGTCATTGATCCGAGCGAAGCGACGTTTACGGTTCTCCACGCCAATACTATTACACGCTATTGGATTGCCGTAACTAGACTACCCTTGTATAGGGTGTCCCAGCGGGTATCACCCCGTTCAGATTCTACGATAGCTTGGTGGATTTTACCATTTGTGAGAAGTTATTGCCCGTTATTGCCTGTTAGAAATATGTGAATTTTAATAATAAATATTTTAAAATCGATTTTTAAATTGCCGTAAAATTTAAATTTTGTTGAATTTAATTATTTCAAAGGGTTTTTGTATGTATTTATGATTCGTGGAAATGTTTTTATGTTTTAACGCTCGGTATTTTATCATTGAAACAATTGCTGTTTTTCTTTAATCGTTTTCTATTGTTTTGATGGAGAATTATCGTTGTTGCACACCAGCGATTTTGAAACACCCCGCACAGCAAATCTGTGATTTCGCTGATCTCACTTGGGTACGTTCGGGAGGACGGCAGAATATGCTCCTCAGTAGCTACGACTATTCAATAGCTTACGCGGGAATATCGAGATTTACATGGGAATATATTTCGTATATCGCAAAATGAAGATTAAAATAATATGTGTATGTTTTTTAACGAGCGTAACAAGCATCCAACACCTTTCAACATTCATCGAGCATTGATGAAAAATATGCCGAGCCCGGCCGGAATATAGTTTTAATAACATTGAACAGAAATTTTTTTTTGTGAAATCGTTAATTGGGCAAAAATTCAGAAAAATGCACGAGAGTAACAGAATGTTTCGCGTATGATATACATTCCGATCGATAGGAAATATTCCGTTATTAGTTTCAGGTATCACTGAACTCGTGATATAATGCAGTGGGAGAGAATTCGCGTTATCTTTCCATTCAACCATAACTGCGAGGTAACGATTTTGTAGCATTTGATATAGACATAGGGGAGATAAACGGGACACGGTCTACACATTAAGCCCGCGGCACACGAAACGTGTTTTGTTGCCCATCTGCCTGCAATGCATGCTACGCTGTGCTTACCCTCGTTGCTCGCTACAGACTATACCTTGCCCGCAGCGCTATTCCGTACCATAATATTAGCAGCATTTGTCTGTATTGTAATTATTTAATGAAAGCGTAGCTCGCAACGCGAGCACTTTACATTTTCTAAAACCATCTCTTGCTCAATATCCCCTTCTTAATATTGCTTAAATAGGACGCGCGATTCGAATTTTCATGTTCTATTATTTTTTATCGTTTATTATTTACTTTTCTATTTCCATTTCGTTCGTATGTATTTTTATTGAGCTTTTTTATATCAAATTCTTCAATTCTTTTATTTTTACATCGAATATTTTTTATTACCTTTTATTAATTGCCTTTTACTTTTTCGCGTTTACCTTCTGCTACACTTTAGCTCTCTTCTCTATTCGGGGAAAAAATACAAAGATTCCGAGATACGAAATAAATTCGATCTGCGCACTTTTACTCGTTGCTTTGGTCATTTCAGTTTTCGCCTCGCCTATCTACGCCGTCATGTTTTGTCGCGCGTTAGCCGAGAGCGTTTGATTAAACGACGTCTTCTTCCACTATCGATCGACGGCGGCCGTGCGACAGTAGATTAATTTTCCTTTGAACATCCCGGTACGCGACAGGAATGTAAATAAATGGTTTACAACAATCGAGAGCCGATCGGATCAAACTTGTGTATCGGGGGCAACCGGAGCTCTCGCTTTTGGTTAACTCGACTATCGCTTTGCGCCTCCCCTGTTGTATCCAACTTTCTCTACACATATTTCTAAAGGGGCACGCTCTCAAGTTTCCCTCCAAGCTATCGTCGGGCGTAACCGATGTCTCGTCGCTGACGTGGAATTTAATTTCGCGCGCGCGCGAGGCGTTGCTTTATACAAAACGTACAAGTCCATCGAGCCTTTCGGCAATAATAGGGAAGGAACGCGCACGGTACATAAGACGGCCGCTTTTAATTTTCGCGTATAATCGGGCGCGACGTGTCAGCCGTGGCAACGCAACACACATCTTCCCATTGAAATCCGTCTTTCTAATAAAATACGAGATACGGGTGCATAGCGAAACGATCGCGCTTAACTTTTACGATATATCTTTCACACGCCGGCTATAAAGTATAAGGCATAAATCAAAATGTTCCTCTCAAGAAGAGCGGAAGAAAATTAAAATATTAAATATTAACCGACCCAGTAGTTGTTTAATGGTTAAAAACACATTTTACTAACTGTCTGTAATTTAACGCCAATTTTTAGTATCAAATTATTTAATTTAATTTATATGAACGTGGCGTTGTAGTTGGTAGGTTTTTAAAAAGCTGTAATATAAAAAATGTGACAAAACACCGTAATGCTACTTGATATTCAAATGGAATAATTGGGAAATAATTCCAGGATAGAGTAACATGACATCCATTGAGTCTTTTTGTTTTATTAGGAATTTATAAACGTTTGTAATCGGATTGGATTAATGGACGCCTGCATAAACATATTGCATATTTAGAAAGTTTAAACCATGTATACACACATAGTCCAGTAACATAACCAGCCAACTAATCAAACAAATATCATGCCGCTGTGGTTCGTGCAAAATGAAATTGGAGTGAAATTACGGGCTAGCGTCAGTACTGCTCGAAACAGTTTGCTCCATAACGCGATGTAGTTAATCTTGCTTCGCGGCATAAGCCATAGATAAGAATAAAACGGTTAGAAAAGCGATGTTAATGGATGGGATTGGCCATTTAGAGACGGTCTAACGTTTAATGCCGCAGCTTCCGAGAGAATAATTGTTCTGGCGAAACCCGTGCAACGTCCAGCGGGCAGGGAGACGGATCTACGGGAGGACGCCTTCATCGTGTCGCCTACGGCGTTAAAGGCGAGGTGTTCCAGGCGTCTCAAAAAGCTCGCCGTACCGAAGACCTACCCTAAACCCACCTTCAAGAGACAGAAAACCCGTGCTGCGCGCAAACGGTGACGCGGCACGAATACGGTAGACTTGTATAACACGAAACCGCATTAATTTGGGTTTGCTCCTCGAATACAGCCGTGTGCATTAAAAATGTAACGTGTTTATCGTGGCTTCCGTGTACGTGCGTAATCTCGCAAGTCGACGCTAGATTACATGAATTTTCAGCTTTCTCTCTCTCTCTCTCTCTCTCTCTCTCTCTCTCTCGAGTAAAAATGTATATATCGTAATAAATCGTAATAAATAATAGTATTTGAGAAGTATCTTGCGCCAAGTGTACGCAGCGATGTAATGAATAGAGGTGGTGTTTCGCGCAAAATGCGCAGCTCACGCAAAAATCTAATAATGCCGGAATATCTTGGTGCGTGCTTTCATTAATTAATTCCAATTGTACTGGCCGCATTGAATATCGCCGGAACGATAATTTTGCGCACGAGATAATCAGAATACGTATTAACGTGCTATCACATACTTTGATATATTCGCGATGCGTACGTGCACGCCCCATCCCGGTTATTTTGCGAACGTTATGATTCGCGCGGAACAGTATATGCAATGCATCAAAAAGCATACAGAGATCTGTCGTGTCGCATTATGTGCGGGTTGTGGCAAAAGCGTGAGGTATAACCGTGTCGACGTCGTAAATTAGGCCAGCCGGCAATCCGCTCGCGCTCGAAACAGATTAGTGTTTCGTAATGTTATAACGAACATTCTAGCTGTCGCGCAACTTCGTAAAGACATTCCGCGTTTCGTGATATCTGACGGAAAGACGAGCCACGGGGAAAGGAAGCATACTGGACTTTAACGTTCGGTATTTTCTTATTTGCGGGAGGAATGCGCGAGAAATACGATACACGCCTTTAACGCTCGGCGATATTAAAGGGACGTTTATACGGTAAAGCGTTGCAGGAAAGCGTATTGCGCGCTTCCGCGCGGCACGGTTCTCGCGTCAGAAATGAGCGATTTTTATTCGCGCAGCGAATAAAAAGGATAGCGAGTAACCTGCAATATGCAATAATATGTAATAATAATAATAATGCGAATAATTGCTATCACGTTCAAACCTACGCTAATTTATTTCAACGAAATACGCGCATAATTTACTACAAATACGATTCTCGCTCGAGCCATTATTAAAGTAAAAATAATGATCCGTGTAATTCATTATATCGACTGAGATAATGGCATTGAAATATTTGAATAATTTAATTTACTTCATTCGCTGCCGCGCTCTCATTTTATACGTCCAACAATACTTGTGCTTTCACTGCTTTAAATTATATAGGCATTAACATTCGACGTTGCGAAATTACTTAATTAAAGGTACGCTGTACGCTCTTACCTTCGCCAGGAAATTAAAGCGGTACAGATGGTCTTTGAATGTGCAGTCGCGAACATTTTTCTTCTCCGCTGTGTCCGAACCTCTTCCTAATTAACATCTCGTTCTCCAGTTAATGTTACTAATAGCAGTGTAAGGAGCGAATGTGCTTACGGTACGCGATTTCTGCAAGAGATGCGCTCGAATCGGCGGCGGTCGATACATTTTCACTTGTATTTCACGCGAAACGCAGTAATAAGCGTCTTCTGTTTTAATTGTCGATACGAATACGACACCAGCGTGTGACACGCTATGCTGATACCTGCCGTTTTGCATACCGTTATTGCACACGCACGCATTGTTTCCGGTCTGGCATTTATATTCCGCGTTTATACGAAACTCCACGCTCAATACATATCGTGCGAGTACAATCGGATGTGCTTTAATAGCGAGCGATCATGCACCTATCTGACGGAGTGATTAACTGAGCGCCATCAACGTTTACCTAATTGTTAATATATAGGCTCGCTGCTATTAGAGCATTAAATTTTAATGACGTTCGATGTACTATCTTAATTTAATTGCGAAAATGTTTCAGCTAAAAGTTACATCTGCAATAAAAAATAATCTTAAAATTCTCAGAATTGAAAACGATTTTTCACGAATTCCTTTTTATAACATTCTACACTCTTTCATAACATTGAATATCATATTTTAATGTATTCAAAAATATATATGACGCTTTTGGCGAATAAAGTGTACGCGCACAGTGCGCGCTTTACGGCGTTCAAGTCCGTTAAAAGATCCGTTATTGCAATTTGTTGCAATGGAAAAAAGGTAGCCTGTACAGGTCGTAATAAAAATTGACCAGTTCGGCAAATTCGTTATATGCCGAAAAGTACACACACACATACACACAGGTTTCTTGACAGTCCCTTTCATCACGTGAAAAGCGATTGATACAAACCCTATCGCGGGCAAAGGGAATCAAAGGAGAAAGGCCGGCTTTAATGCACAGGTATAGACTCGCACTAAAAATTCTAACTTTGTCCGGAAGCAAATTTTGTTTCAAAGGGCAACTGAAACCCGCCGCTGCCCCGCGGTCGCCCTCGCTGCCGTTTGATCCGGCGAAATCCGGACCGCGTCAATAGAGATAGCAAAAACGGGGAGCATGAAAAATGGATTTGAAGGGGTTAAAGCTATTGAAACGTCAGACGCGCAGTGTCGGCGGTCAAATTGTGACAAGATAGGAACTTTCGCGGCGAGGGCGGGAAGATGAACCTCTACAAATACATTTGGCGGATCGTCCGCACGGGCGTTTGCGGCCCGAACGGAATATAAATGCAAACGGCAGGAATATGCGGCCGATTCGCTCGCAATTCCATTCACGTCCTAACGCTCCTACGCCCGGGCTGTCACCGTTGACCAGAATCGCGCGGTCCGTTTGACCCCCGACCGCCCGCCCGCCCGCTCCGGTTTCCCCGGCCGCGACGACCCGCCAAGCTGCATCCTCTTATCGGAGCGAGAGTGCGTTCGGTAAGCCGAAACTATGCGCGGCAGCTACTCGCGGTCACCCGAATCAGTGTTTCTCAAATTGGGTTAACCGAGAAGAAAGCGGGAACATACAGAACCGAGTTTATCTCAATCGATTGGTTTAACAGCGTATATTTCGTAAAAATTTAGAGACAATGCTCCCTTGGCGAGATTTATTTCATTTATTCTTGTCCTTTTATTTAACATTTATTTCAATCGATACTTTTGTGTTTTTCTCGCTATTATCGCTTCTTCTTATTATTTAAAACCGAATGCAATTAATTAGAACGACTGATTTTTGTCACGACATCTAAGTAAATGGTGAAAAATAATGGATATTTCTGAGTAATATTTGAGAAGCACTGTTTTAAATCGCTTGAATGACAAATACGATGCACGTTGAGGTTCGCATTTATGCACTCTCTGAATATTTTTATAACGGAGATTATACGTTTCGCTTGTTTCGTGTACTCGGCTTTCAAATCTTTTATTCCATCCAGTGAATCATTACGACGTAGTATATGATAAATGTATAGGGGCTAGCTGTGAGAGTTGAGAGTTTCCATGTCTGGAAATGACTCTCGATAAATTTACTCAACTGCAAGAAACTTTTACGTACAAACTTAACTTTGGAATTATATATGATTGGTTCTGGAAGGATGCATTTGAAACATAAATTCAAGTTTTCGAGACGGAGACGAAAACGGCGAGGTAAACTATCAAATACGTCGATTTCGAAATTTCTACTTTGCATTTCGTAAACATCAAGTTTCCTCAAAGCAGGTGTGTTTCTTGACGACGCAGAAAACGCCTCGTAAATAAATTTAAAAAAAAAAAAAAAAAAAAGATAAA